TACGTTCGCAAATTTATTTTCTATAGAAGAATGGTAGTGCCAAGGGGTTATCGTCTTGTAATACCAATAGACTTGTGAAGGAAACTGCGAGAAATTATGGCTAAAGGAAGGAAAAATTTCCTTTACGACGTGGATAATTGCAATATTCTCCTCGCTCAGACGAAGGGAAATGCTGAGGGGGAAATCCTGTATCCCTGTTGTGACTGACCGATTGAGAATTTTCATGGATGGGTCGGTTGATTTGATTAGTGGATAAACGTTTAAAAATCAAACGAGCTCCACAGTTTGACTAATTGGGGCTAAGTTTTAGGCTTGCCTAAGCCTATGAAATCATTATTACAAAGAGACGATAAAACAATGCTGTCTTTTTGTTACGAAATGTTCTTTAAGAGTGTGTCCACAAGAGGACCGGGAAGGCGTGACACATTCCATCCCACCCATTTCTTTCAAACTTTCACAGTTTATGAGGGTTAGCTAAGTTATTCAAGAATCCTAAGGGCATTAGTGCCTCCACATTAAATCCCTGGAGTAAAAGGCTAAAATTAGATCGAAAAATGCACTTCAAACGAATCTCTCTCACACTTACAGAATGTAAGAGATTTTAATCTTACTGTGTTCGATGGTTGTTTGAAGCTCAAGAAAACAATTCCTTAAGTTAGGGTAATTTGATAAAACTTCTGTCAATTTAGAGCACTTAATCGTTAACTGTGTCACACAACTCTTCCGAAAAAGAAAACATTAGGGTTTTTATTGCAAATATCTCCGATGGGCAACATTGTATGCCGAAAAATATACCATTACAGGAAAGACCTAACTTAACACTACGTTTGTGTGAAAAAATTTTTTTTGGCCTCCATAAAAGATTTTGTGATCACGTCGCTCTGAAGTACGTGACCTCTCACGTTAATGTATGCAATTTTTGGTTATGAATTGATGGTTATTCACTCATTTTCAATTTGAAAATGGGACCGCCGACGCTAGTTTTTATGGTTCTAATGTCTAAAAATAACAGATATATAGCTTCCAAGCTGAGGAGTCACTTATCATAGAAATTCTGTAACGTTGACACAAGCTATTGGAAAAAAATGATTCCTAAATGTGTTTATATATCGTACATAAACATTACCGAATTGACTGTAACCTTAGCCAAAAGTCCATCTTTGCAGTGGATTAAGCTTTGAAGAAGGAGAAGAAGTCTTCCAGACGAGATTTCAAATAAGGAAGAGAATTAGAAACCTATTACCGGTACACAAGGAATTTTAAATATACCTGTTAGATAATCTTCTGGAATCATTGGCTTCCGCACGAGTAAATGCGGCGTTTATGCAGTAAATAATGGACTGATAATGAAAAATGGACCGATTAAGACCCTTTCTTTTTAAAAATAACACTTTCAAAAACCTCTCACCACCTTATTCTACAGAAATCGGAATCTTGATAGATCTTTTACATCTTAGAAGCCAACGTCATCCGTCAGAACTCAGCTTTTATTTTCCTCTTTTTGTTTTGTTTTTTATTAAAGTAAGGTTAAAAGTAAAAGGAACATCTGTCCCATAATGTACCTAAAACTGGATGGAGTCTTCTCCAAAGTTTCCCACAGTGGAAAAAATATATATAGCGCCCTTGGTAAAATTATAATGAGTAAAATTAAGTGTTTCATTTTTGTAAATTACATATGGCAAACGTTGCTGTCAGCTGCTGACGTCCATTACTCAACTCGGTAATGTTTAATGTTTGATATATAAATACATATATGATGCATAAATACATTTACCAATCATTTTTTTCCAATAGGTTATGTCAGCGTTACAGAATTTCTATAATAAGTGACTCCTTGGCTTGGCAGCTATAAATCTGTTGTTTTTAGACATCAGTACCGCAAAAACTAGAGTCCGCGATCCCATTCTCATATTGAAAATAAGTGAATAAACATCAGTTTATGACATAAATTAACGTCAGAGGTGACGTACTTCAGAGGGACGTGATCACAAATCTTTTACAGAGGCCAAAAAATTTTTTTACCCACAAACCTAGTGTTATGATAGCTCTTTCCTGTAAGGGTATGTTTGTTGCCCATTGGAGATATTTGCAATTAAAAACTCTAACTTTTTCCTTATTTGGAAGGAATTGACAGATGCTATATTAAATTACCCCAACTTTAAGCAATTGTTTCCTTGCGTCCAAAAAACCAGTGGACATAATGAGATTAAAATCCATCGCATTCTATACGTACGGGAAAGATTCGTTGGAAGAGCATTTTTCGATCTAATTTTAGCCTTTTACCCTAGGGAATTGATGTGGGGGCTCGAATGCCCCAAGAATAAGCCGGGAGCCCGAACTACTATGGATTCTTGAATAAATATAACTTAGTGACCCTCATGAACTGTGAAAGTTTGAAAGAAATGGGTGAAATGGCATGTGTCACGCCTGCCCGGTCCTCTCGTGGAAACACTAGTAAGATAAAAAGGAAGAACTAGGGAAAACCAGTAGCAACACTAAGAAAAATTTTCAGCATGGGCATTTTTTGTTTACCTGGTATGATACATATTGCACCTGCCTCCTTACTATGACCACAATTATGTTTTCCCCATCCCTGATGTTTACACTCTGTCAATTTTCTTTCATTTCCAACACAATTCACGTCGTCCATCCATATATTTCCAGTTCCTTCACCAAAACGTGCAGACGTGACTGCTTTCAAAGCACCCTCGAAATTAAGTTGGCGGCAAACCACGTTAGCATCCTCAATTGTCCATTGGTCATCACACACTGTTCCCCAGGAGCCATTGTGAAACACTTCAACCCTCCCTTCAAATGGGTTACTTCCACCAATTAGTCGAACTGTCAGACGGGAAGGATAAGATACCATCATGAGTTAATTTGTGATTTTAGTTTCTATAAGGAGGTGATGAGGCGGAAGGAATATTGTTTTGCGTTACTGAGCGACGAGAGAGGTAAACGGTGAGATATTGGGGCTGGCTGAGGAAGAACTTGCCACAAGGCGTTAAATAATCTTGGATAGGTTGGTTGATGTGGATGACCATCACATCAATTGAACCAGCTGTTAATCCCTCAAATGTATAAACTGTCAACTAATTATCGCATGAGTCGATGCATGAATTAGACTTATAGCTTTCTTTCCGCTAATTTTTAGAAAAATAACCGAACAACTGAAACCTCGTCGTCGATTTGCCAGGAAAAGCTGATCCACACAGCCAAAGATTAAAAGCATCAAATTAAACGTATTTGGTTCGATGAAGACTTCAAATTAGACCTTAGTTTGCTGTCTTAATACAAAGTTTCCTAAGGTTTAGAGAATGCTACAGCAGGCCAAGTTAATGTAATTTTCGGGTCCTTTGTAATGGAATAGGATAAGCTTTTCTTTCTCAGTTCACATAATCTTTGTGATTGTAGACAAAATCAGTCCACGATGTAAAGAGTAATGTAAACCTGGTCAAAATAGCCCCGAATTTAGAGTCAGAAGAAGGCCAATAAAAGATTACTAACTGAGCTGTAAGGCTTCCCTTCAATCTGGGCAATCGTCAATACGTAATATTAGTGTAAAAAACAAAACAATTAAAGACACAAAAAAGTCAGCAAAATGGCAACTTAAAAACAAACTTTTAGTATGCAGCATATTTTTATTACCTTGCATACAAATTACTCCTGCGTCTTCGAAATGGCTACAGTCGTGTATTTCCCACCCAGGATAAGAGCAATCTGATAATCTTCTTTCATTTCCACAACATTCAACCTGATCCATCCATATCTTACCACTTCCTTCCCCAAAAACTCCACCCTCGACCGCTGAAGAGGCTCCATCCAGCCCTAGTTGGCGACAAACCACGTTGGCTTCCCTAAGTGTCCAACGGTTATCACAAACAGTTCCCCAGGAACCGTTATGAAACACTTCAACCCGCCCTTCAAATGGGTTGCCCCCACCAGCTAATCGAACTGTCACATGAAAAAAAAAATCGATTATGATTAGTCTGCTCGTAATTTTAGTTTCTAAAAGGGAGTGGTAACTCAGAGGATACCGATAGACAAGCAATGGAAACTGAGAGAAATTGTGGTTTGATTGAGAAGGAATATGCTTTGAAAACACGAACAAATTAGGACAAGGAAATATTAGATCGAACAGTCACAAAAGAAAGGTAACTGACTATCCTTAATTAGTTTGTGACAACAATTTCTATCGGGAGGTGATGGGTAGAGAAAAAGGGTTAAGTCTATACTCGAGACAAGTGGATCACCCATGCCAGCCAGAGTTTATCCCGGCTTCATTAACAAGAAGCAACTAGGAGTATTACCACTCATACCTAGATGCGATACTAATCAATCGCAACGATATTAAGGTTTTTTGCAGTTACCTGGGATACATAAAACGCCTGCATCATCAACATGGTCACAGTTATGTTGTCCCCAACCAGCATGATAGCACAGTTTTAATCTTCCTTCATTTCCATCACAATCAACGTTATCCATCCATATTTTTCCACGTCCTTGACCAAAACCTGCAGAAGTGATCGCGGACAAAGCTCCACCCGCGAAACCCAACTGTCGGCAAACCACGTTGGCTTCCTTAATTGTCCAATAGTCATCACATACAGTTCCCCAGGAACTACCGTGAAATACTTCGACCCTCCCTTCAGATGGGTTACTTCCACCAGCTAATCGAACTGTCACATGATAAAAGTAATTAGACTATAGTTAGTACGTTCGCTAGTTTAGTTTCTATAGAAGAATGGTGGTGCGAAGGGGTTTTTCGCGATATTCTCCTCGCTCAGACGAAGGGAAGTGCTGAGGGGGATATGCTGCATCCTTATTGTGACTGACCGAGGATAAATTTGCTTTGACGTCGAGAAGAATTTTTCATCGATGGGTTGGTTGATTTGATCAGTGGATAACCATCCAAAAATTGAAAAAAGCTCCACAGTTTGACTAAGTGGCACTCAGTTTTTAGGCTTGCCTTAGTCTAATTCTAATCATTATCTTAGTCTAATCGTTATTACCAAAAGAAGATAAAACGATGCAGTCTTTTTATTGCGAAATGTTCTTTCTGATAAAAAGGAAGAACCAGGGAGGGCCAGTGGCAATAGTGAGAAAATTTTTCAGCATGGGCATTTCCTGTTTACCTGGTATGATGCATATTGCACCTGCGTCCTTACTATGGCCACAATTGTGTTTTCCCCATCCCTGATGTTTACATTCTGTCAATATTCTTTCATTTCCAACACAATTCACGTCAACCATCCATATATTTCCAGTTCCTTCACCAAAATGAGCAGACGTGACTGCTTTCAAAGCACCCTCGAAATCAAGTTGGCGACAAACCACGTTAGCATCCTCAATTGTCCACTGGTCATCACACACTGTTCCCCAGGAGCCATTGTGAAACACTTCAACCCTCCCTTCAAATGGGTTACTTCCACCAGTTAGTCGAACTGTCAAATGGAAAGGATAAGATACTACCAGAGTTAATTTGTGATTTTAGTTTCTATGTGGAGGTAATGAGGCGGAAGGAATATTGTTTTGCGTTACTGAGCGACAAGAGAAGCAAACGGCAAGATATTGTGACTGGCTATGGAAGAACTTGCCGTGACAAGGCGATAAATAATCTTGGATAGGTTGGTCGATGTCGATGATCCTCACACCAACTGTTAATCCCTCAAATGTATAAACTGTTAACTAATTATTGCATGAGTCGATGCATGAATTAAATTAATAACTCTCTCCCCGCTAATTTTTAGAAAAACAACCGAACTAAACCTCGTCGATTTGCCAGCAAAAGCTGATCCACACAACCAAAGAGTAAAAGCATCAATCATATTTGGTTCAGTGACAACTTCAAATTAGACCTTAGTTTGCTGTCTTAATACAAAGTTTCCTAAAGTTTGGAGAATGCTACAGCAGGCCTGGTAAATGTAATTTCCAAATGTTTTCCCATGAACTAGGACGAGCTATTTTGTGATTGTAGAAAAAATCAGTTCACGACGTGAAGAATAATGTAAACATGGTTAAAATAGCACTGAATTTAGCGTCAAAAGAATGCCAATGAAAGATTACTAAACGGGGCTGTAAGGCTTCTCTTCAATCCAGGAAATCATGGATACGTAATATAAGTGTAAAAAAAACGAAACAAAACAAAACAATTAAAGACAGAAAAAGTCACCAAAATGGCAACACGAAAACAAACTTTTAGTATAAAGCATATTTTTTATTACCTTGCATACAAATTACTCCTGCATCTTCAAAATGCATACAACTGTGTATTTCCCACCCAGGAAAATAACAATCTGATAATCTTCTTTCATTTCCAAAACATTTAACCCGAGCCATCCATATCTTTCCACTTCCTTCACCAAAAACTCCTCCCTCGACCGCTGAAGAGGCTCCATCCAGCCCTAGTTGGCGACAAACCACGTTGGCTTCCTTAAGTGTCCAATCGTCATCACAAACTGTTCCCCAGGAACCATCATGCCACACTTCAACCCGCCCTTCAAATGGGTTGTCCCCATCAACTAATCGAACTGTCACATGAAAAAAAGTAATTTCAATGTCTGAGTGTTTGGACGACATGGCACAGTGCAAGTTGTGCGAGGAATGGTTTCACATAAGCTGCGAGGGATTTAAGACTGCCCCGGAGGGAGCGAGTAACTCTGCATTGTCTGCAGACCTCCAGACTCTAGACGTCTTCGTAATTGTTAAAGTGTTATTTCGGTCAAAGTCTGTTCGTAATTTTAGTTTCTACAAGGGAGAGGTACCTCAGAGGATACCGATAGACAATTAAATGAAATTGAAAGAAATTGTGGCTTCAATAAGGAAGAGTATGCTTTGAAAACACGAATGAATTGGGGAGTTTTTCCTTGCTTAGTCGAAGGGAAATGCTGCCTGAGAAATTATGTATACCTAGAGAGGTTTGACGATTGTTATACTAATTTTGCTTGAAATATAATTATTTTTAGAGGTAAAAAATATTACTTTTTCACATAATTGCAGCTAAACTGTAGTAACCAAATGCGAGGTCTGCGGTTTTTTAAATAGCGTTGGTTTCGGAGTAGCCCTAAAAATTGTTTGGCCTCTACGCTTTCCTTGGAGGTATGTTTTGAAAATGGATCACCTTGAAACCCCTCGCTCTAACGAAGGGCTAACGCTCAAAATGTGAGATTTAGAAATTACGTTGGCCAGTTTACATCATCAATTCAGTTGATAAAACCAAATCAACTTTAAAACCTAGCCTGTTAGTTCATATAACGTGGCATTGTACCACATCTAACTTGAACAGGGAAAGTACATGCATGTATCATCGCACTGAGAGAAACGACCGTCAAACCAATAAGTTAGTGAAAAAAGATCTTAAGCTCTTTTGCTGATAGTAATAACAGTACATACTATCAATAAATGTATCTTGAGAAGTCCTAAGATAATTACTCCCATAATAAAGCAGAAGATCAAGATAAATTTATCTCAATGAGTTAAAGTAGCTTACCAACGTTTCCAGTCACAAAATCTTGTATCAGGCAACCTATAAAATAGAGCAGCTGGTATAAGTGTGGAAAATTAATTGATAGCTTAGTTACAGTTCAAAATAAACGTATCACCTGTCAGTAAAAATGAAAAGAAGACAGAGGACATCTTGTCCACAAGTTCACCTGCCAAAAGTGACGGCACACGAAATAGAATATGCTCTTGAAATGATCTGTTTTAAATCTTCCTCGAAGTTTCACTTTTTTACCCCACATCCCATGTTTTCATTTTCTATGATCCTGAGCGGAAGCTTCTCTTTTTAGTCTCTGCAGGGTTATTTCACTTTAAATATTGTTCCAGCCTCAGTCTATTCTTAATTATGTTGCATTTAAGTCAACAACCCATTTCTGTTTCAATATTTTGCCAATGTTTCCGGCTTTGAGAAGTCTTTCATGAATCATTGAAGCTACCCCTACCTGACTATAATCAAAATAATTTCATTTACGCAAACAACTATCAAATGAAAGGAGACCTGTTAAAGTTGGCGAAACTTCCGAATGAAACGGCCAAAGGCCGATTTCCTTCCTCTGTTCATTACAAAATAGCGAGATGCCCCAGATATTTTCGTTAGTAACAACAAAAAAAGAAAGAAACTTTCAGTTTTTCAGTTGAATGGTGCAATGCATGGTGGCAAGCTGATTGCCATCATTACCGTAAAGACCGCAAATCGCATACTTTCATCACTTCCTGAACTCTTTAGCAATATGGTGTATCCAAACACTTTGTTCGCAGTTGTGGAGGCAATTACAAGTTTAGGATGGAGAACGTCGTTCACGCTTGAACAAATACATAGAAAACTGAAAACACTCCCTGTATCACGCTCCAAATTTCGAAACTCTACATTTGTTTACGTTTCCAAAACGCTTTTAAAACATTTCTTGGCTGCTTTATTGCCCGATATGAAATGTTCACTATTACATGACAGCGACTTTTACTTCAGTTGGACGATCAACAGGCATGATATTTTCTATAAAATTCTGGTTCTTCGGTGACAAATCGCTGGCAAGTGTGTTTTAACACTTTTAAAAAAGTTCCAGTGTCCTAGCGGATTTGTACCCCCCGGTCCAAATCCGTTAACAGATATCGACCGGGGGATCCAAATTTCAACTCATGACTGAGTGAAAACATTATCCTTAACGTTCTAGTAGAAATAGATAACACTTTACGTCCCAGTGCGTACTAATGCATACGAACCGGCAGCTGGAAATGACCCGTCGGATGTTTCTTTTGACCAAAGGAAAATGCGCAAGCACTTAGTTTAATGTTTGGAGAAAGGTCGTTTTGGAATCTTTTTCGCGATAGCCGAACACCGCTAGATTCAATAAGAAACAAACTTGTAACACTAATTTATTTTGTTATGGTTCAATGTCTGAGTGTTTGGACGACATGGTACAGTGCAAGTTGTGCGAGGAATGGTTTCACATAAGCTGCGAGGGATTTAAGACTGCCCCGGAGGGAGCGAGTAGCTCTGCATTGTCTGCAGACCGCCAGACTCTAGACGTCTTCGTTATTGTTAAAGTGTTATTTCGGATCCCTCAACAGTTAATAATCGTTACAATTAGAAAATAAAATTGAGTTCTATGTAATATTCTCCACTTTTGTGAAGACGTAGACATTAATGTTGATTTACATCTGAAAATAAGCTGATAGTTCCAATAGTTCAGAATGGAAACATTTTTACTTTTCATAGACTTTAAAAACGACTTGTATTAGGAGTAGTTACTTCGTTCTTGTTCAGAAACTTCGAATTCTAGCAAATATACTTCACCTCACTTGCGTGACACTGCGTGACATGAGTTGGGTGTTGAGAAGAATTTTATGAGCATGCGTAGCGCATTTGTGGATTCCAGACTGAAGCAAGTGCACAGCCATATACGTTCAAAACCATGTAAAATTTAGTAGACTCCATAAGAAAACAAGATCACAAGCTTTATGCATATCAAGCTTTGCACATTCTTCATTACCTCACTTTTTTAAAGCAAAAAAACTTCGGAATTCTGAACAAGAGACAGTTAAGATCATGATCTGATCACAAACCTGATAAATTTGCAAGGAGACTCTGGCTCGCTCTTGCAATGTTAGCAATGCATGGTGGTTCCATAATTTAGAGATGAAAAAACATAAGCTTAGAACAACTTGTTCCTTATTTAAATACGGGAAAGAAAATTTTTTCCTTAATGGATGAATTGCCTTGCATAAACCACGGAACACAAAGAAGACTTGATCATGACGCTTTATTTTGTTCAATCTATAATCAACAGGTTGGAGTTTATTTCTGCATGCTTTGAGAACAGTGAATCATCTAGCTACTATTTTTTCTTTTCGCATTTTTCATCATCATCTTGGTCTACTTGGTTTGAAAAGACCAAACGTCTCCCTTGTAAATAGTTTTCTCGTCCAATTCAGCATCTACTCGCCAGTAATAGGTAGACCTGGAAGAAAGATTTTCCTTCAAGTAATACACGTTGCCATCAGCAGTGATCTTCTCCTTGTACTCGGCGGAGTTCCGTGATGCATCGGCAACGTTCGACTTGTCCGTTCCAAAGTATACATGGTGAGTTGAGGCACCAAATGCGTTTAACCACATTACAGCATC